GCCTTTGGCACACAGCCTTTGCTATTTCACGTTACCCTGAAGAAAGTGTTCTAAAGATGCTTCACTTTACCGACTGGGCCGTATTCCTATCTGACTGGGAGTTCCCTCTGAACTTCAAGTCCATCTTACTGAAATGCTTTACTGCAAGCTGAAGATAACCAGTATGGCAGTGAAAACAGCTGCACACGGGCCGTGTCGGGAGGCCCGTCCCCCCATTGCATGTCCCAGCTCCTCCAGGGCACAGGGAAATCATGCTGGTGTTTTCCAGGTCACACGGGACCTTGGTGGATTCTCTTGGTGGATCTTTTTCTTGGCACATCTCTCTTCTAGTGTGCATTCTAGCCTTCCCTAAGTACCATTCTGGGTGTTCTGGATTCCAGCTCTCCCTGGGTTTCAGGAGCACGTATGTGGGTGAGCTCATGCTTGAAGGGAAACGAGCTACGGCAGTGAGACCGACACCAGCGGCATGGCCCCGCTCCTGCTGAGCCGCGAGAGCGCGCACCTTGGCATCCTCCTGGAGGCCGATGCTGACGCGCCTGTGTGTGCTGTTGCAGGTGAAGAAGGCAGGCAGCCGTCTCATGTTCCTGCTGGTAGACAAGGACACGGACAAGCGCCACAGAGAGCAGCAGCTACCTTTCAACAGAGAAACAGCCAGTGTGAAACTGCTGCCGCACCAGCCCCGGGTCGTGGAGATGAAGCAGGGCAGCAGCGGCTACGGCTTCTACCTGAAGGCCGGCCCGGAACACAAGGGTAAGGCGGCCTGCGTGGCGGCCTGCGTGGCGGCCTGCGTGGCAGCCTGCGTGGCGGCCTGCGTGGCGGTGGCGCTCATCTGGCCTCCGGGTCTGGCTCCGAGTTCTGTTGGACTCCAGCTCCCTACCAGATGCACGAGGGGGCAGTAAAGGCGTCATGGGGTCGGCGCTCACGTCCAGGGGGCCTGATGCTGGCTGTCCCGAATTTCTGCAGCTGGTTGCCTGGTGCAGTCTGGGATCTGGGCAGTAGCACTCTGTTGGTGAATTGGCCCTGTGGGGTGGGGGGGTCCTATTATTTATAGCTTTTATTTGGGGGGTGATGTAAATATCCCTTCAACTGAGTTGAAGCTACTGTCATGGAATGCAAATTTGAGAACTGTGTAGACAGTCCACACGCCACTGATTCTGAGGAGGAGGCGTGGTCCAGATCCAGGATCAGACTGGAGCAGGAGTCTCAGGCCACCAAATTCAGCGAAGAACGGGAAGTCCTGGTCCCTCCCTGGCGGCGCAACAGGTTGAAGTGCAGCACTATGAGGCTGTCCGCAACCACTGCAGCACGAGTTCCATTCTGAGCCGGCCAGGGAGGGACCCCCAGAGTGCGGCAGACCTCTCCTGTCTCCCCACTGCCCCCCTCAGCAGTGTGTTTCAGTACAACCGCCTGTTCTGTTCCCCACTCTGCCTCTGGTGAATCCTCTCACCACCCCACACCTCAGGCCTGTACCCCAGTTCTTGTGTGCAGAAGTAAATCTTAAAGGGAGTCCCCCAGGGCAGGTGCCGGCTCGACAGGAGGCTCGGGTAACCATGCAAATGGTTGCTCACCAGAAGCTGCCGCTTTCAGTATGTACGTTTACACTTAGTAACCAAATATTGATTTGGTTAATATTATATATAAAAAAAGTGCTCAGGGTTTTTGAGAATATAAGGCAATTGGATGGGAGTTTTCCAGTCAAGGGGCCTCCTAGTTAGTAGAGGAAACAGGACTGTGAGCACCACTGAAGCTGGTGCGTGGCGCCCCTGGATAAGGGCTAGGGAGGGGTGGGAATTCAGGGGACCCCTCCTCACTAATGGTCCCGGGGCCTCATGCAGAAGTGGCCCAAGTCAAGGCTTTAGTGCAACTGGGATGGACAAGGAGCTGGAGCCGGGGCCAGGAAAGCCCTTCCAGGAAGACAGGGGTTGTGTGGCCAAGACAGGGCAGTCTGGGCAGCCTGAGCGCATGGACTGGAGAGCAGGAGGGCCGCACCGAGGAGGGCGGGTGCAGCCAGGGAGGACCTTCCGTCCAGGCTAGGGCGCTTGGGCACGCATGGACCTGTCTGCCTGCGGACTTCTTGGGCATCTGTTAACCCTTCAGTTTGGGATCTGTTGACCCTTCTGCTGAGGATGCTATTTTGGTGAGGTTAAGTCAGACACTTAGAAACATCATCCCTGTACCACCTCTTCTTGCTGCCGGAGCAGGCTCTGGGCAGGGCCAGCTGGACAGGTGCTCTCGGGCTTCCTGGACAGGGAGGGACAGCAGCACTGTGTTTGTGTCACTGGGGCCGTGGGCTCCCGCAGAAATGCCGCATTTTTGTTTTACTTCTTGGGTAGGTCAAATCATCAAGGACATAGATTCTGGGAGCCCAGCGGAGGCGGCAGGCCTGAAGAACAATGACCTGGTAGTTGCTGTCAACGGCCAGTCTGTGGAGTCCCTGGACCACGACAGTGTGGTGGACCTGATCAGGAAGGGCGGGGACCAGACATCGCTGCTGGTGGTGGACAAGGAGGCCGAGAGCCTGTACCGACTGGTGAGTGATAGCGCGGCCGTGTGCATGCTACGTCTGTGGCGGTCATGCAAGTCCTTGCGCTCGGCTGAGGCACTACTTTGTTCACACCGGAAGTGGCCTAACAGGTTCCATTAAGGCTGAACCAAAGCGCAGTGTGGTACTGATGTTTCTAAGATATTCTGTTTACAATGTTCAAATATGCAACAGGGTATTGAATATGGTCACTACGCCGTACAGCACAGCCCAGAACTTACCTATGAACTTAGCTGTTGTTTTTGAAGTCTACGTGATGGACACCACACCGTATTTGTCGTTCTCTGACTTATTGCACTTAGCGCAAACCCACCATGCTCTCGAAGTCCACCATGTTGGAGCAAATGGCGAGCACTCATTGTTTTGTGACTGAATAATATTCAGCTGTGTGTGTCTAAAATACCCATTCACCCATCGGTATACACACTTGGGTTATTTCTATGTCTTGGCTACTGTAAATTACGTGGCAATGAACTTGGGGGTGCATTTGTCTTTTTGAATCAGAGTTGTTGTTTTCAGATAAGTACCCAGAAGTGGAATTGGTGGATCATATGGTAGTTAACATTATTAATCTTTTGAGGAATCTCTACTCCGTTTTCCAGTGACGGCACCAATTTACATTCCTACCAACAGTGCAGATTCTCTTTCCTCCACTTTTCTTACTTATTGATAATAGCCGTTGTATCAGGTGTGAGCAGTCACACTGGGGCTTTATTTGCTTGCTGGGGGTGCTTGCTGGTCATCTGTGTGTCTTCTTAGGAATAATGTCTATTAAGATGCTCTGCCGTTCTAAAAACATTTACTTGCTTTTTTTTGCGGCCCAGTTATAAGAGTACTTTCTATATTTTAGGTATTAACCCCTTACCAGATATGAACTAGTATCTTCTTCCATCCCACAGGTTGCCTTTTCACTGTGGGTGATGTATTTTGCTGTGCAGAAGTATTAGCTTGATATAGTCCCACTTGTTTTTCCTTTTGCTGTTAAATCCAAAAATACCATTAAGCTTGGTGTCATGAAGTTTACTGCCTATGTTTTCTTCTAGGTGTTTTATGGGCTCAGGTCTTGCATTCAATTTGTGTATAGTGTAAGAGAGTGGTCTAGTTCCTTTTGTTTGTGGCTTTTCAGCTTTCTCAGCACCAATACTGAAGAGACTTTTCTTAATGGTATATTCTTGGCTCATTTGTCATAAACTGAACATACATATAGGTTCATTTAGGATTCTCTCTTCCGTTCCTTAGATGTGTCTATTTTACTCTAATACCTTACTTATGAGACTTGTATAAAGGTTGAAAGAGTGAACTGGGTAGACAAATGAATGGGCTTCTAGTTAGTGGAAAACCCAGACCTAATGACAGTTGCTACCAGAATGATGCCAACCTCAACAGCTGTCTGGGAGCAAACTCTGTTCCTATCCTAAGCAAGCTTATTATCACATTTGGATGGGGAAGTAAAAAACATTTAACACACATAAGTCATACATAAGACTTAATGTGTGATGAATAGTTAATTTACTGGTATTTAAAATATCTAGTCAACACAGAAAGAATAAAGAAACTAGTAAGCCCAGGTTTCAATAGGCATTCAAGTACAAGATTATCTCAAACGGAAATCATATGAATTCTAAATGATGAGATCTGGTTTTGACAGCTACTGGAAAGACTGAAACTTAATGATACTCTGCCTCTATGCAAAAAGGTAATTTAATGCTTTTGGAGATGACCATATTCGCCTGCTGAGTTGGTTGGACCATGCCGGAATTACTGGTAGCCCTGGCAAACTGCTCTCTGTGCCGGTCTCCTCAGCTGTAGGATGGGGTAGCGATTGGGAAGGAGGCTAGAGGGTGCTTAAAGCATTCAAAATAATGTCTGACCTATCTAACTGTTACTTGTCAAATCAGTATTGTGCTTCGCTCCAAGGGGGGGTAGTTACAAGGTCACCAGGGCAGTGGTTTGGAAGCCTTCAGTTGAGTGTGTAGCTTTAGTAGATTTTGGGGAAGAAATGAGAACACCTTCAAGAATTTGACAAGCTGTATGATAATTTTTAAGGTGAGGGCTATGTAACTTGATTGTGGATCATTTCATCATGTATAGCAAGTCATGTGTACATACCTTAAGTGTAATTCTGTCAATTACACCTCAAAGCTAGAAAAAAATATAGGAAGCAAAATTGACAGAATATACCCAGTAGCTGTATCAGTGTACACTAATTAAATAGCATACACCATTAGCATATACTAGTGGTTCAGTCCTCAATATCAATAATAGGCAGAACATAAGATTCAAGAGAACTTGAACTACACGAGGAACGACTTGACCTCACACGCACAGACATAGACATGTCCCTGGGGCACAGGAAGCACCTCCCCGATGGGCCAACGCAGCTTCAGTGATGTGACGATAGCCAGTTGCACGCCGTTACGCTGAGATGAACGTATTTTATTTGTAAGATAAAAATTATGGTAAAATTATACCTGTATTGTAGAACCTTTCCAACTATACGTATGAAAGGATCAAGCTTATTTTTGAGGCTTTCGTTGCGCAGCCTGACCATGGAGAGCCACACTGTAGGGAGCTAGCTCCTGGCCTAGCGGCGCGGAATCGGCCCGGAGAGCGACGCTTCTGCCGAGTGCAAGCTCTCGGCTGGTGGGAAAGGCCGGGGCCGCCCAGCTGCTGTAAAGCGGATTCTGCTCGGGCCCTACGCCCACTCGGGGCTGGATGAGTGAGTGAAGCTTGTCTTTGTTGGCACCGGAGAACGGTAGACCTACGGCGCCCGTTCTCGTCCTCTCCTCTCTTCCTCCTGAAACTGAGTCCCTCAGGGGGGTGGGGATGGAAGTCGGATCTTTGTGCGAAATCTAAATCTGCCCAGTGAATAGTTCTAGCACCTACTGCACCCGCAAGCATTCGAGTGAACGATGAGCAGAAACTCAGTGTTTGGCATTACTGTGCCCACTCACACTGGCCATCACTGTCGGGTCACTGTCGGGTCACTGTCGGGTCGGCTGGCTTGCCTGTTGGGTGCTTTCGGCAGAGGCATTTCTGCACGCGAGGAGTCACTCGGCTCATTCTTCACATTTTAGAGAAAGGCGGAACATTTGCAAGTGAACGTGGCAAGGTCTGAAGTTTGCTTAGCTGGTTAAGCAGGGCTCTTAGCTGGGGCCATTCGATGAGAGGAAGATGTGGTCTGTGAGAAGAGCAGGGCCCTAACCTAGTGCAGCGGCTGCCGAGCAGTGACCTGGGCAGAGCACACACCGGGCCTCCTTTACCAGCCAGTGCCTGCCGGGTGTCCTGGACACGGTCAGCGGCAACTCAACGGCTGCTCAGAGTCGAGCACAGCCAAGTCAGAGGAAGAAGATTTTACACCAACAGACGGAGACTTCCTGTCTCACTCTCAATGAAACCCAGTCAGCTGAGTTCTTAAATCAAGTCAGATGCACCTTTGCTCAGCACCATCACTCGATGGACTGGAGTTGAGAACTAGGAATATTCCCGGTGGCAAGGAGTGAGGCCAGGCCTGCGACTGACTTCTGTGGCCATGTGTGGGCTTGAAGCAGGGTTTCCCAGGCCTGCTGCTTGGGGGCGTCTGCAGCTCGCTGGAGCAGAGTCTCTGCAGCTGAGGCTCCCTGACCCCCTTCCCGAACAACCAAGATGCTCACACTGTGACGGAGGGGTGACGAGGCTCCTCGCACGACCCGTATGAGGCCTCGCCGCCCTGCCAGTCAGCACTCGGCCTCCTGGCACTGGTCCCACTGAGCCCGCCGGCGTGACAAGTAAGCCTCTAACTTCTGAGTGCTGTCAGATTTCCCTGGGAAATTGCTGGAACAGTCTCTCCTCTCCCTCCCAGCCCCCAGCTGCAACTGTGCAGTGGTTTGGTCTCCTATCTTCAGAGTGGTAAAAGTTATCCTTCACTTTTTCTAGAGAAAGTGTTTCACTTCAGCTCTGAAGACCTTACTGAGGAGCTGGGCAGGGCCCTCAGCGTGAGAAATCGTCCCGTGGGGATTGCTGAGGCCGTTCAGGGCCCTCTCACGCGCACAGGCTGGCTCCTGGAATGCACCAGCAAGCCCACGGGGCTTAGTTTGGGGTCCTCGGACCTCATTCTGCGCCGCTTTCTGCTCGTGTGTGTTTACACCCATGACGCTATCGCCAAGCTCGGTCTCGGTCCTTTTTCTGGTGGGAGAGTAGAGAATCTTACGGCCCACCGCTAGCAGGGTCGGGAAAGGCGTGGAACAGTGCGCCCTTGCCGGTTAAACAGCACGTTTACCCCAGTGGACAACTCACTCACTCACCTCCCCTTGCTCCGAAGGCTCATCTTTCTCCGGTCCTCTATTACCAAAGTCAACAACTGCCCAACGGCTCTGTCAAGGAGGCTCGGGCTGCTGCCTCTGCTCCCGTGGAGGCCTCGTGTCCAGACACTACAGAGGCGGCAGGGGACCACAGGCCCAAACTCTGCAGGCTGGTCAGAGGAGAAAGCGGCTACGGCTTCCACTTAAACGCGGTGCAGGGCCAGCCGGGCTCCTTCATCAAGGAGGTAGGTGACCTGGCCCCGGCGTCCAGGGGCACAGCCGGGTAGCGGCCCCTCTCCCCCGCCCACGAGAGCCTGGTGGGTGCTGAAGCCCTGTCAGGGTCTCACCTGGGCTCAGTGGAGGGTCCCTCTCAGGGTAACTGGTGCAGCCTAAACTCACCTTGTCATCCGTTCTGCCTCTTCAGATGATTCCAGATGCCGTAACTGACACGGCCACCAGGCAGGCAGGTGGCACGACTACCTGGTGGCCCCGTTAGCTTCCTGGCCTTTGGTCTGGGACACCCAGCCCGGCAGGGGTGCACAGAGCGGCTGACCCTGGAGCTTTCAAGCTAGGAGGGAGGGAAGGAGGGAGGGGTACCTGGGAAGCGGGACGCCTTCATCCCGAGGACTGAGAAGGCCCCTCGGCCCGTTAGAATGGAGAATGGAGAATGGAGCCTGTAGGCTTCATAAGCAGGACAGCCTGAGAGTGAATTTCTCAAGGAGAAACAATTACCGGCTCAGAATAAATCCTCAAACTCATGTCCTTTGCGAAGGGCAACCGGCCTGACGTGCCCTTCTCCGTGTCCGGAAGCGCGAGCTCTGGCCCTCTGTTCGCAGGTACAGAAGGACGGCCCGGCCGGCCTGGCCGGGCTGCAGGACGAGGACGTCCTGGTCGAGGTGGACGGGGTGAACGTGCAGGGCGAGGCCTACGAGAAGGTGGTGGAGAGAATCCAGAGCTGCGGGAAGGAAGTCACACTCCTCGTCTGCGGGCAGAAGGCCTACGCGCACTTCCAGGCGAAGGGAATCCCCATCGTGTCCGCCATGGCCGACCCGCTGGACGCCGGCCCGGGCCCCGAGGCGGCCCCGGAGCAGGTGGAGGGCGACGCGCCCGCGCCCAGGGAACGGGTGAGTGGCCGCGCCTTCTTCGAAGGGGCACACCCGCGCAAGCCCACGCGGCCCCATGCCCCAGGAAGGCCGTGTGGACACCTCGGCTGTGAGGCACAGGTGTGTAAGGACAACACGTTTCCTAATTTCCCAGCGGTGACGCTGGCAGCGGCTGTCTATAGGAGAGAAGTTCACTAAAATGACTAGGGAACCACCAGAATCACCCCGATCAGGACTGTCTAAGCCAGGTTCTGGAGCGGCCGTCCATCAGTCTTGGGCAAAAAGATTTCTTTCCTCTGTGCCAATTCCCCTCCTCCGGGACAGGGGTGATGTGTAGGCTTCTTCTCAAGCTTGTGTTAACCGAGATCATGAAAGTACCCCAACAGCTCCTGTTAGACAGTACTGTGTTTTACGTGACCATCAGCTATTCAAGTTTTAGCACTAGGGAAGAAAAAACACAATCTGTATGTATTTACCTTAGGCCAGTTCCTTGGTAATTCTCAGATTTTGTTTTGTTGAATTTCTTTTCATAGATGAACTTAAAGCCCAAGAGTGATTTAGTCAAAGTCTACATGGGATAGAGGATTCTCTTTGTTCCATTATGTTAGCTCTCTCGACCGGTAATGTAACACATGCCGACTCCTAACGGCTGGTCTGTCTGGCTGCTGCAGGAACACGCCTTAGCCTGGGAGCTTATGATCAACACGCACGCACTTCTAGTTCCGAAGTGTGTGGAATCCAAAATCCCGGGGTCACCTTGGTCTTCTCAGGGTGCGGACTGCCCGTTGGTTTCCTGCCTCATGGTAGGAGGGCCAGCGAGCTTGAGGGGCCTATCAGCCCCAAAGGCCTACTTCCTAACACTGCAAGTAATAAACGCTGGGACCGTTCGTTAAAACAGCTCTCTTTAAAAACCTGATTCTTAACGACAGGAAGGCAGGGATAGCACCACACTGGCTCATGAAAAACAGATGTGACAAAAACTGCTAAGCGTGCTGAGTGACAACTGGAGACAGAGTGGGGTGTAGAAGTCCTGTCGCCTGGCTGCGGGCGCCGGCGGCCCAGGAGGCTCAGCGCCTGGTCTCCGCTCCGCTCCCACACGCCGCTTTCTTTTGCACAGGCCCATAGCTCAGCCTCGTGCGCTTCCTCCAGCTCTGAAGACACAGAGATGTGAGCATGAAGAGAGGCTGCGCTGCTGCCACTCTGGGCACCGACGGGAAGCCGCCAGCCGCTCACTAGCTGTTAGAGAAGCGCTCAACGCCAGCCCTGGCTCGCCGCCTCCGCCCGCCCGGCGTCCCGCTGAGGAGAGTTACGGCGGGAGTGATTCTTCCGTGACCCTTCCACGCTTCCACTCAACTGCCGCTGCGTGATGGGGCCTCTTACTTCGACGGGCTGCCTGAGGCCGGAGATGATGCATAAACCTGTACCCTGTGAGAGCTGCTAATTAAAACACCTGAGCAGATAGTAAATTGATGCTTTTGTAAGAATGTGGTCGCTAAAATAAATACTAGCAAAAGTCTCCTGAGTATGTGTGCACCTTCGCTGTCAGGGGCTGTGACCTGAGAAGCGCTCGTCCTGCTCAGCTTTTCAGGCTTTAACCTTTGTTTTGTCTCCAGCGACCCACAACACAGCGGAACGCAGAATTAGACCTCAGTAGTAAAGAGACTTCCTGGTAATCAAATTCAGGATTTTAACTTGCATTCCTTCCTTTTACAGATGAAAAAACTAAGTTCCAGGACAGGGAACTGACTTCACCAGTTAACATCATTCGTTTTTTTACCCCACAGCAGAAAAGGCAGATGGAAAGGAAAAGCCAGGACATTACTGAGTTGAAAGTAATCACAAATAACTCTAAAAGGACACGAAAAGTCACATACTTGACGTCTCCCTTGGCAGGCGGTCTCCGTGCCTTTCAGCACCCCCCCAGGAAAGAACAGGTCACTGCGTGGTTGTTTCGTGGACCGGCGCCCCTCACCCCGCCCACGCTACGCCCCACGAGCAGTGATGCTCTGATGAAACGAATCCGAGGCCGGTACAACCTCTGACTTTAATGGCAGTCGGGGAGCCGCCCGCGGGCCTGGGCCGCACAGCAGCCCTGGCTCCGTCCGCCCCTCCCACTCCTCTCACCGAGTCCCAGCGCCTCCCCCGCCTCCCTTCCCTCCACGCCGCCCCGGCCCGGGGACGCTCCCGGCGGAGCCCCGCTCGGCTCAGGCCCGGCTTCGTGTTGAGGCCGACCGGCTGGCGGGAGGCCGGCGGGGCCGGGGCCGAAGGTGCTGCCCAGCGCTGTTTAAAACACGAGGCGCCGGGCTCCGTTTCTGCCCTTTCACGACAAAGTCCGATGGCGCTGGCCGAGCAGTCGGAGGGGGCAGCAGTCAGGGCGCCATGTGCTTCTCTGGGGCCTGCTTGTGCGCCAGGTACAGGAAGAGTATGCTGGAGAGAGCGCTGACCAGGAAGATGACGTCGAACCAGCGGTGGTAGAAGCTGAACTGCAGCTCGCCGAGGACCTGGGTGATGATGGTGCGGTACTCGGGCGGCATGCTCATGCGGATCAGCAGCACGGAGGACACCAGGTACATGCCCTGCAAGGCGCGCAGGTCGCCGGTGTGGGCGGGCCGAGCAGCCCCACGCCCCCACCCCACGCCGGACTTACCATTATCTGTGCCAACAGCAGGACTATGACGTTGGAGGACTTGCTGCTGGAGATGGCGTAGAAGAACTGTCAGGAGAGGGAGAGGCGGATTCAGGGAGCGCTCACGTCCTCGGCAGGACACTGGGGCGCACGGGCGACCACTCAGTGACGTCCCTCCAGGGCACAGTCCTGAGGCGGCCCCTCGGCCACGGAAGCTCAGGCTGCCGAGGAAGGGCCCAGTGCGTCTCGGCCAGCGGGTGGAGGGCGGTTTAACTCACACTGTCACGCGAGAGAATTCCTGTCCCTGTCCAAGGCTTCCAGAACTGTAACGCATGTGACGTTAGCCCCGCTGGGGAGGTCGGCAGAGGGCCGCCCGGTAATGGCTCCCGGGGCCTCGGCGCGCCCCCGCGCTCCCCCAGAGGCTGCAGCGCCCTGCCCTGCCCTGCGCCTTCTCCTTTCAAACGACTCTCGGACCTCGCCACCCCCACCCGCGGGACGTAACTGACGGCGCTAACTCCGGCGCCTGGCTACGCTGTCACGCGTGGGACACTCCGCTCCGTCTCCTGCACGGGGACCGGCCTCCTCACGCGCTCCCCGACACCAGCCGGGACCTGCAGCTGCCGGCTCGACTCTGGAGGCTGGTGGCGCCGTGGGAGACGTGCCTTCGGCATGTCTTTTAAACACTCACGGCTTCCGTTTGAGATCTCAGACACACTCGCTGCGACCTCCAAGGGGCCATACCTAACCGCGCCCCTTTTAGTTCTGTGCCACAACACACCTTGGTCAGCGTGATGAGCAGCCCCCGGATGGAGGTGACGATGATTATTCCAACCAGAATGAAGGAGATGTGCTGGGACCAGAACTTCACCTGCCAGCCGCAGAGGGAGGAAAAGACACGATTAGATGTCTGTCTGAGAGGCGAAGGCTGAGGAGACACGCCCTCCCGAGGGACGGTGAGGGCCTTCACGGCCCGGCTGACCTCGGAACATCATTTAGGCAAGATGGGAAGCGAGGAGCTCTTAATCAGCAGCCAGGTCCCGAGGACAACAGAAACCCAGTGCAGGGAAGTGACGGGAAACCCCAACATCAGAGCGGAGCTGGTGACGCACGCGACGATCATGCAGTGGGAGCCGTGGGAAGCGGGACTCGAAGGGGACTGGACAGCAGCTCGACTGTTTTCAGTACGTGAGTGACAGAGCCGCAAGGCACTTCACAACCGAAGTACGGCCGTGGGCAAGCAGCCCTCTCCTGCCCGCCCCGGGACGCCCTTTCCGCCTGTACCGCTGCAGAGC